TCTCTCTCTCTCTCTCTCTCTCTCTCTCTCTCTCTCTCTCTCTCTCTCTCTCTCTCTCTCTCTCTCGCTCGCTCGCTCGCTCGCTCGCTTGCTCTCTCGTAGTCTGTCGATAGTGAGAAGTCAGGTGGCGAGAGGGTGAGGGAGAGATAAGAAGGACTCTCTCTCTCTCTCTGGTGCCAGGTACTAACCTGTGAAGGTGGCGCCTTGTTGCTGGCACATCTAAGACGAAGCTGGAGCTATGGCGCCACAGGTAAGCTCACAGGTAAGTCTCCCTGGCCTCCGCCACTTCCCTCTCTCCCAACGCTACTCTAAGATCCTAGCAGCGCCCAGTGCTGAAGACTCCTATCGCTATCTACTACTACTGCAGCGCTCCTGCAGAGTGCTGCTGCCGCATCCTGAAGACTACCTCCTGGACTGCCTCCTGCCTGCAGCCTGCAGGGCGGACCAATACTATATAGTGCTGGTCCAGCTGGGAGGCTGCTCTTGCCAATGCCGAATCGTGCCAGACCCTGGCGCTGAAGTTCAAAAAAAGGTTGTCTTGAAACGGGCCTAAAAGTGGCCTGCGCTTATCCCTGGTCTGGCGCCTAAGTTTCAGGAAAGGTCGACTTTATGAGGGCCTGAAAATGGCCCTCCTTTTTAGGCTTTTAAGCTGAAACGACACAGGGCCTGGAGGGCCCTTATTCCATCCGGTCGGGCCCTGCAGGCCTGTGTGGTGCGCAGTATGCCACACCTCCCCCTCCTTGAAAGACCGAGCTTACCTGCGGGGGTGAAGCTGCCTATCGGAGGGAGGGACCAAAGTCCGGGTGGGAGGGGCAGGTCGTGAAGCTTCCTTAGCTAGTCTTTGTCGTTCGTAGTGAGCGTAGATCAGAGGTGCGGATGCTTGCAAATCTGCTCGTGAAATCCATTGAGTGTCGTCAGGATCGCATGCTTTGAAGGTAACTTTGTACTGCCGAGGCTTGTTGCCGTACTTGCAATCCATGACGACGCAGTCGGCTTCCTGATGACCATCCATAGAAGGAGGGTCTTGCGATCGTCGGCCCGGGAAATCGTCGCTCTTAGCCGGTGTATATGTGGCCAGCTTCGAGGCGTGAAAGATTGGGTGGACGGGCAGATGCGGAGGGATGTCGATCACAAAAGATGGGTCGTCGGGCTTATCGCCTGCAGCTGAAAGGACGGTCCATGGTCCAAACCACTTGGGGAGTAGCTTGCGTGAAACATCATGTTCGGGCGCAAACTCTTCCGCAGAGACCCAAACCAGATCGCCGGCGCGGATGGGACATGGCACAAGACGCCTGTTGGCTTGCTATTGCATGCTGACTTGAGCCTTGTGCATGTTCGCATGGGCTTGAGTCAGCAATTCCCTGTACTTCTGGACGGAGGCGGGAGAGCAAGCGGCGTCTATGTCGGCAGTTCGTGGGAGGAGAAGATCAGCGAAGATACGGTCTTTCCGGCCACCGTGGTGCAACTCGAATGGAGTCACGCCGATCGCCAGATGCAACGAAGTGTTGTAGGCGAACTCGATGTCGGGGAGGCGGTCAACCCAATCCTTCTGATCCGGACGGATGAGCGCCCAAAGCATCATTTGAGTAGTCTGATGTGCTCTCTCCGTTTGCCCGTCCATTTGTGGGTGTCGAGCCGAACTTGGTTTCATTTCGGTGCGGGACTCCTGCATGAGAAATCCAAGATGCCGACATGAACCGAGTGTTGCGGTCGCTAACGATGTCTTCCGGTACGCCGTGGCTGCAAATCCAGCTGGTGTGCAAGAGGCGCGCAAGTTCGGGAGTCGTGGCGTAGTACTTGCAAGGGAGAAATCGTGCGTATTTACTCAATCGGTCAACGACCATGAGGATGTCGTCATGCCCGAGGCGGTCGTGGGGAAACGGGCCGGTGACGTCCATAGCAATGGAGAGGCTGGGTTCCCGCGGGATAGGCAACGGGTGCAACTCGCCGTAGGGATTGCGGTTGCGGGGCTTGCTTCGTCGGCAAACTTCGCAAGAGTCGCAATACCGAGTGACATCGGTAATGACGTCGGGCCATCGGAATCGTTGCTGGAGTCGTTCGATAGTCCAATTGACTCCAAAATGGTCGGCAAGTCGCGAGTCATGGTACTCGCCGAGGAGGCGAGTCCGAAGACGACGGTCTCGTGGGACACAGAGTAAGTCCTTGCCTCGCGAGTGGAGAAGCAAGTACCCGTCGACGATGCGATAATTGCTGGTCGGCGGGTGATCCGAAGTTAGTTGCACATATAGCGTGGCGAAATCCGGATCAGACTGGTAGCCCCGAATGAAATGTGGTTGGAGTTCCTCGTCGAATGCGAAGGCATGATGTGCGCAAAGATCGGGTCTTCCCGAGAGTGCATCTGCTGCGTGATTGGAGAGGTCGGCGAGATGTTTTGGTGTGAAGTCAAATTGGTCGATGAAATACATCCATCATCCGATAGTGCTGCTCACCATATCTTGCGTCTTGTAGTAGGTCAACAGGTTGTTATCAGTGACCCATGTGAACCTACAACGCCCAAGGAGGAAGTGTCGCCATCGCTTGAGAGCCATCACGAACGCGAGCAGCTCCTTCTTCCTTGCATCATCAAGTGAGTTGATGGGAGGCACCTAGTGGCTGAAGTACTCCATGGGATGCCAATTGTCGCCCTCGTGTTGTTCCAAGACTGCCCCAATACCATAGCCGGAGGCGTCGGTTGTCACTCTCGTTGGCAAGGTGGGGTCGTAGATGCTAAGGACGGGTCTGTCTTGAGTGCTTGGAATGACCGGCGTGCTTCATCGTTGAATACGAATGGCACCTTTGGCGATTGTAGTCTAGTCAATGGTGTGGCAATCCGTGAGTACTCAGTGATGAGCGTTGGTAGTAGCCTGCCAACCCCATGAATGAACGAACGTCCATGGTGTTGGTGGGCTCGGGCCATACACGGATGGCCTCAATCTTGTTCGCGAGCGGACGGATGCCTTGCGGCGTCATATAATGGCCCAAGTATTCGAGCTCCTGCCGCACGAATTCACATTCGTCGCGGTTGGCTTTGTACTTGGCTTGTCGTAGCCGCTCCAAAATGGTGCGCAGGTGCTCCACATGCTCGTTCAAACTTCGACTGTACACCAAGATATCGTCGAGGTAGATGAGTACAAATCTGTCCAACATGTGTCGAAACTCCGTCGTCATAGCCGCTTGGAACATGGTCGGGGCATTCGTAAGGCCAAAAGGCATAACCAGCCATTCGAAATGCCCATATCGCATCTTGAACGCGGTCTTGTAGCGGTCCTCCTGCCAGATTTGGAGTTTGTGATATCCCGATTTGAGGTCAAGCTTGGAGAAAAATTTTGCGCCGCCCAGCCGTTCGAGGAGGTCGTCCATGCGCGGAAGAGAATCGGCGTTCTTGACGGTTTGCGCGTTGAGCTTGCGATAATCGATGCACAACCGCAAGTCCTTGTTCTTCTTCCGGACGAAGAGAACGGGGGCACCGTATGGCGAAGAGCTAGGCCAAATCCAACCTTTCTCAAGAAGGTCGTCGAGTTGTGCCCATAGCACACTTAACTCTTCCTCGCTCATGCGGTAGATGCAACCACGCGGAGGTACAGCCCTAGCCTCGAGGATGATCTCGTGGCGGATTGACCGATCCGGTACAACTCCGTGTGGGACTTCGAAAGCGTCGCCATAAACGTCGAGAAGCTCGGTGATGTGTGGGTCCGTCGATGCGTCCGTCGATGGGATGTCCTGGGGAGGGAGGGCGTGGAGAAAACACACAACCATCTCCTCGACGTCATCCCAGGTGATGGAAGCTCGAATGCTCGTGGCGGACACTACGTGACATCTGATCGAAGGGTGAGGTGGAGGCACCGTGCACGGGACTAGTACTCCGTTCCGATCACGAATGTGAACGGTGCAGCGGTAGAAGCTCACCGGGTGATCCTCAATTCACAGCCACGACATGCCCAAGATCATGTCGAACTTGGTGTCAAAAATGTCGAAGGACACGGCCTCGCTTGCATGCGGGGCGAAGTACAAGGGGATGAAATCAATGCACCGGTCGATTGACTTGTGTGTGTGACCATCGGCCAATGTGACTTAAGTGGGCTGCGACTTCTCCGAGCGCGTGGCCCCAGACCAGCGCGTACCATAAAATCTTGGCTCATATAGTCGCGAGTAGCTCCGCAATCGATCAAAGCGTTGTAGGTCGCTTCTCCGATCTGAATATGTATGTACATCAATGGCGCGTCGTTGGTGTCGTACCGTTGTGCCTTGAACTTGCGGTCGATCTTCTCAACATAGTCGTGAAGGTCAACAACCCCTACTCCGGTGTTCATCAACGGAGCTGGTACTGCAGTGTGCAAGTAATCCCGCAATTGTGTCATAAGCACGTTGCAATGCGGTTTCGGCAATCGACCGGTCGGGGGAAGGGGCATCCATTGGAAGTCCGCGAACGTCAACGGGTCTAGTTTCTCAAATTTTGACCATGACGTCGAATCTCCGGCTAAAGTCGGCGGCGAAGCTGTCGAATCGGTTGCTGATGGTGATGAAACCGTGCATGCGGTGGAGTCTTGCACGTGGAGTGGCTGCTCCAATGGTGGGACCAAGTGGACAGCATAATCCTCGTAAGTGAACCGAGGACTTGCGACATCCGCATTCTCCCCAGATGTGTAGGAGGCCGCTAGCAAGGCGGCCGAATCTGGCGGAGTGAGAGGCGAAGTCGCCTCACCTCCCGCGCAGCTCAGTTTCCCGAGTTGATTAGAGGTCGAACATCCTCCTTGCCTTGATCTTGGCATTGGGAGGTCTTTTCTCGTGTGCAGCAGCCCGGTTGGTCTTGATGATCTCACGAGCCTTGTCGATGATTTCGACGAAGGTCGTGTATTGTTCTCGATCACCGAGTGCGAGGCTCAAGGCGGCACACGACCGGTTGTAGAACTCCCAGCGCAGATGCGAAAATGGCAAGTCGAGATCGGGTATTGCCACGATCTTTTGCCATTCCGTGAGCTAGTCGCGTGCCCGATGTGTTGCTTTGAGTCATGGCGAAGAGGCGGTTGATGGCGAGCGTCGGGGCGTCGTCAACAATGAACCGCTTCTTTCATTCCTTCATTAAATCTTCCCAAGAGATCTTCTTGTGCAGATCGGCGACCTGGACGCCGTGGATGGTTGCCATGTGGCTGAGCCAGATCTGGCATCCACCCTTGACGTTGAGGAACATCGCCGAGACGTACAAGTAAGCGGGGACCTCATGAATCTGAAGCTCCGTCGTAAAGCCCTGCCACCAGGGGACCGGGTCTTGATACGTATAGTCATTAAACTTTTCAATCTAGAACGTCGGCATCTTGTACTGCCGCGATGCACTGGTGATGCCATCGTTGTTTGGCGGCTGGTGTAGTTGCCGAATCTCGTTCTTCAAGGTGTCAAGCTGCTCGCTGATGTGTGGCAAAGGTGCTGATGTCGCCGAGCATAGCTAGTACATGATCCATCCGTTGCTCCAACTGGCGGTTTGAGGCTGCATTGCTGGGTTCACTAGCATCTGGTCTTGGTGCTGCTTGCTCCAAGTCCAGTACACGAGTGTGAAGTGCCCGTGTAGCATCCTCGTGCAGATCCTTGTGGTTCCGCACTGCCTGTCAGAGATTCTCTAGCTCGGACTGCAGGTGGTTACAAGCTAGGCTACCAGAGTGGCCCGGGGTCACTTGCCCGGCCGGGCCAAATAAAATAAAAATAATAAAAATAAAATAAATATTTTTAAATTTTATTTTTTATTCTAAATTTGGTGAAGAATTTCGATGTTACCCTGAGGCAAAAGTTGTTTAGTTTATTTTTCTTCATAACATAGTTTTTTTTGGGATTTTTTTTTTTTTTTTTT